TATTCATATTTTGGTTATTGACTTATTGCTTTCTAGTTTGCAATAATTGATATGAATAAAATTTAACATCGTATTTATGAAAATCTATAAATTTTAAAATTTAATTTGCGACAGGTTACASCCGTAGTTTGGTAACGCATGCAGYGGCCCCGTCAACTAGTTAGCACGCGGCCCATCGGGAATTTCCCGATTTCCCGATGGTCCAATCCGTCCCTGCCCAAGGTTAATGTGCTTAAATATTAACGCAAGCTCCGATTTAAATGTTTTTTGTAGTTAACTATTAATTGCCATAAAATATGAGAAATTTCTAATGATAATACACGTATAGGTATATTATGAGTTAATCATCATCAGCTAGGTAGTGAAAAGGGTATTTCAAAGTTTGCAAAACATTTATGTAAACTATTACTTATTGCAGAGCTTCAACATTTTGTTCAATACTTTTATTCGGTTTCACATACAAMTAGGTCTATTATTATTTAAATATTTTGGTAAGTTTAATTATATGTGCACTATCAAAAATCGTAAATCTCAGGTACTGATTTATTGTACGGCGTAAAGAGTAGGCAACAACGTGTAGTTGAAGTACAGCGACATGCAACCATAACAATATTAAATTATTATAACACAATTAATAATTAATACATTTATTTTATGATTTTTAAATTTAAAAACATTGTATTATTTCTAGACTATGTAAATAAATATAGCAATGTACATAATATAGTAAATACTGTGTGATAACAACAAAACATTGTACCTAATACAAAATAAATGCACAATTAAGGATTTAGATACTTAATATATATATAGGTATATGCTGACGCCTGACACTGCGGGTATTATCAATCAAACGTAGTTGTAAATATATAAACAAATTACATTAGCTACTTAATTTTATATTTTACAATAAAAATTTATTTTATGAATCTTAAAAATATCAATTTAATCAATAACTTTTAATCATATCTGCTCCTTTTTCCCCCACCATTATAGTAGGGGCATAAAGATGTGCGCTCGGAATATGTGGAAATATCGAAGAGTCCACTACTCGTAGTCTTA